TGATGTGGACGTTGCCATGTTCTTCTGTGCTTCTGCTCCCTGGGGATACAGGAGCCTTGTGTTTCTGCCAAAGACAATACCACTCTTTGTCTGCTAAGAGGGATAAAGGCTGTTGATTCAGCCTCCATCCAGAGCTCTGTAATCTAATATCCCTGCACCGAAAGCTGATTCCACCCACCCACCCTCTCCCGTCCCACTGCCAAGTCTTTTTATTGCTATGTGCTGTCAAGTTGCCTCTGGATTAGGGCAACTCTGTGAATGAGGAATCTCCCAGATGTCCTGTCCTCAAGGACCCTGCTCAGCACTTGTAAACTCAAGCCTGTGGCTTCCTTTAGGGAGCCAGTCTATCTCGTATTTGATCTTCCTCTTTTCCTACTGCTTTCCACCTTTCCCAGCGTTATTGTCTTTCCGAGACAGTCCTGAAGTGCCCACCGTAAATCAACCTTTTGCATCCAGAGATAGTTCAGGTTTGATTTGATCTTGGACCCACTTGTTTTTTTTTTAATTTCTGGCTGTCCAGGGTAGTATTCAGAAAGCTCTTCTATATCTAGACCACTTTGCATTTAGATGAAGCACTGAAAGAGGGCTGACTCCGGATTCCTAGACAGTCCTGGGGGGGGGGAAAGAGTGCAAGCTGCGAGTCAAACCCCCCCATCCCGTCATGATGTCAAAGGGCTAATCCGTCCCCTTCCTGCTTTGCTCCCTCCCTCCGCCTTCCCCGCGTGCGTGGGAAACTAGAGTCCGGATTTTCCCAGGAGCTGGAAGAGGGAAGTTTGGGAGTGAAAAAAAACACGGGTGAGTTGAATGCGTCTGAGATGCAGGGAAGGGCAAATCCGCATTATTTTCTTCTTTCCTCCCTCTTTTGTTTTTAATTTGTTTTGTTTTACAACCCCTACTCCATCCAAAAACAAAAAACAAAAAGCAGATTCCCAAATCAAAAGAATTATTATTTTTGATATTTTAATTTATTTGCATTCCGCCGGATCGCGTTGGCGCGTTGTGGTTACGATCCATTTGATTTGGTGATGTGTAAGTACAGCGCCTAGCGCACAGATCCTTAGCGCGCAGGATTTGAGGAGCGGAGCAAGGCTGCGCAGGCGCGCGGGGGAGCGCGTGGGGGGGGGAAAGAAAAAAGGTGGGGCTGCCCTCGCGCTGTCTCGTGACGCGGCTTTCCTGTTAGATTTTTTTGAGGAGGTGCGGAAACCCCGCCCTTGGCAGCCGCTTCTAGGCATGCGCGGATGGAGAGAGAGAGAGGAAGCGGGGTGTGTGTGTGTCTATTTTTGTGGGCATGCTCGGAAGAGTGTAGTGAAGGCGGACCGTGCCCTTCCTGGCGCCCTCTGGTGTTCAGGTCTTAATATGCGTTTTATATACAGTTGTTAGATTTTTTTGAGGAGGTGCGGAAACCCCGCCCTTGGCAGCCGCTTCTAGGCATGCGCGGATGGAGAGAGAGAGAGGAAGCGGGGTGTGTGTGTGTCTATTTTTGTGGGCATGCTCGGAAGAGTGTAGTGAAGGCGGACCGTGCCCTTCCTGGCGCCCTCTGGTGTTGAGGTCTTAATACGCGTTTTATATACAGTACTGTACTGTACTTAGTGGCTCCCTGGAGGAAATAAAAAGAGAAGGTCGGAGGCTTGGGTGTCTTTTGAAGAAGTTATAGAAGGAAAAGTACATGTGCTTGGAGAAAGAAGTGTTTTTATTACCTCCAGGAGAAAAAAATAAAATGGGTTTATACCCATTTTTGCAGCCTGACCACTGAGGACAAAAGAGTTTGCATAAGAAAATGGAGGAGGCTTTTAAATAAAATAAAATAAATTCCATTCTTGAGATTGCGATCCTATTCAACCTGGCATTTCCCCCAACCTCTGCCCCCTTTTGGCTCTTTATGGGCTGCAGTTCTCATCTTCCCTGGCTAGTGCCTATGCTGGCTGGGCTGAGACTGATGGGAGTTGTAGTCCATCCATTGGGCTAGCACCAGGCTTGGGTGAGGCTGTGAGGCAGACTTTTGGTTCAATTGACAGTGGTGTTTTGTGGTGCTTGGAAAAGACTCTGGCTCTAGGGGATGACTCCCAGAACCTTGCGTCAGTGTGCCTCTCCCCCCCACCCCCAAAAAAGGAATTTTCCCCAGCCCTGTTAGCTGGGAAATGCTGATAGCTGTCATCCAGAGAAATAACATTGCAGCATAGCGGTGAGCGTTGGGAGTTTTTGGGAAAAAGGAATTCCCAGCCTCATAATTGAATAGGAACGTGTGGGCACAAGCCAACGTTTGGGCCTGAAAACCACCCAACAGCAGAGTGGCCCTCTTCCCTCCATGCTGAGTCACGAGAGCGCACAGGGAAGCAGATCCCCGTGTGGGCTGCATCATTGTGGGTTTCTCACTAAACTGTGGAATTGGGAGATACCCTCCCATACACAAACTCCCATCTCTAAGAGTTGCTAAGTAGTGACTGTAGGCCAACCCACTTCACAGGGTTGTCGCGTGGATGAAAAAAAAATGAGGCGAGCCAGGTAGGTACTGTATGTCATTTTGAGCTCTGTGGAGGGAAAGATGATAGAAATGTAACCGGTGGCCCTGATTTTTGTTGTGCTAAAATCCTCTGGCATTGTTACGCCAAAGGCTTAACCTTTGGAGATAAATCACCTCAAGCTAAGAAGACATAGGCATTGTCTGTTGTACAGTGGTGCCTCGCTTAACTATTACCTCATTAAACGATGAAACCGCTTGACGATGAAGTTTTGCGATCGCAAAATGATATTCTAATAGGGAAAAATCGCTTAATAATGATCGATTCCCTGCTTCGGGAACCAATTTTTCACTAGACGATTATTTTAAAAACAGCTGATCAGCAGCTCTAAAATGGTCGCCCGCTGTGCAAAATGGCTCCCCACTGTGATTTAGGATGGATTCCTCACTTTACAGGTGCAAAAAATGGTGACCCCCATGGAGGATCTTTGCTGGACGCTGAGGTATTTAGCCCATTGGAATGCATTGAACCGGTTTCAATGCATTTCAATGGACTTTTTCGTTTCACTTGACGAGGATTTCGCTTAACAGCAATTTCAATGGAACGAATTATCCTCGTCAAGCGAGGCACCACTGTATATTGAGGTCACACAGTGACAGATGGAAGTGCAGCCTACCAGATGATGTTGGACTGCAAAGGTAGCAAGCTACCTTGAGTGATACTTTGTAGTGGAAAGGTGGGATATAATGTAATACAGTAGGAGTCCTGTATAAGGGGGGATCAGTATCAGCTGATCTACTTATCCATGATCTGAAAATATTAAAAATAAAATAAAAATCCTAGAATTTTTTTAAAGATGAAGTTACCAAAAACAGCCAGTAGACGGAGCAGGAGACAAGGCCATCCAGTCCAACCCCCTGCTCAATGCAGGAATACAATCAAAGCATATCTGCCAGGTAATTGTCCAAGTTTTTCTTGAATGCCTCCAGTGTTGGAGCCCTCACCAACTCCTGAGGTAACTGGTTCCACTGTCACACTGCTCTAACAGGAGGTTTTTCCTGATACTCGACCGAAATCTGGCTTCCTTTGAGCCCATTGTTGCATGTCCTGCATTCTGGGATGATTGAGAACAGATCTTGCCCCTCCTCTGTATGACAGCCTCTCAAATATTTGAAAAGTGTTATCATATCACCTCTCAAGTCTTCTTTTCTCAAGGCTAAACATGCCCAATTCTTTCGGTCCTTCCTTAGAGGGCTTGGTTTCCAGCGCCCTGATGATCCTTGTGGCCCTCCTCTGAACTTGTTCCAGTTTGTTAGCATCCTTCTTGAAGTGCGGTGTCCAGAACTAGATACAATAAGGTGAGGCCTAACCAGACGGAGACTAGCACCTTGTGGGATTTGGAAACTATACTTCTATTAATGCAGTCCAAAATAGCATTAGCCTTTTTTGAAGCCTCATTACAATGTTGGCTCCTATTTAGCTTGTGATCTATGACAATTCCAAGATCCTTCTCGCTCAAAGTTTTGCTGAGCCAGGTATCCCCCATCTTGTAACTGTGCAATTGGTTTCTTTTTCCGAGTTGCAGTACTTTACGCTTATCCCTTTTGAATTTCATTCTGTTACTTTCGGCCCAGCGCTCCATCCTATCAAGGTGAATTTTGAATTTTGTTTCTGTATTCTAGGGTATTAGCTATTCTGCCCAATTTGGTATCATTTGCAGATTTGACAAGCATTCCCTGCACTCCCTCATCTAAGTCATTAATAAAAATATCAAAGAGCATTTGCTATTAAAATAGCACTCACTATAATATGCATTTTTCAACATCTGTACGGAAGGCTTGGAACCAATTCCCCCAGGACACAGAGGTCCCACTGTAAATAAAACAATGTAATATACACCCCCACTGCAACCACTACACCACACAGGTTATCAATATAATACAAGTATATATTTTTAATTCTATTCTGCTCATCAATAGCAGCTTTACTGTTTAAAATCAAGTGATTTGTGTGACATCACAATGATTTTTTTTTCTTCCTACTCAGAGTAAAACCTAACCCTCTGGAACTAGAATACCCTTGTTTGCTGTATTGCTCCCCATCAGGACCACAGTATCCTCCATTTCCTCAGATAGAGAGGGAGAAAGCCAACAGCAAGAGAAGCGCATTGCCTGAAAGAGATGTTTGGAACACAACCAGTCTCAGAATTGAAGGGTTTGGGGTTAGACCCCAATGAAAGTTTGCCCATTTTCTGAGACTTAGCAAGAAAAAGAATCATAGAATCATTGAGTTGGAAGAGGCCTACAGGTCCATCGAGCCCCGGGGGTTAGACCCCAATGAAAGTTTGCCCATATTCTAAGACTTAGTGAGAAAAAGAATCATAGAATCATCGAGTTGGAAGAGGCCTACGGGTCCATCGAGCCCCATCCCCCAGCGCGAGGCAGGAATCCAAATCAAAGCAGATGCGCAAGATGATTGTCCCAAGTTTTTCTTGAATGCCTCTAGCGTTCATTGGTCCCATTGGATCTTGAATGCCTCTAGCGTTGCAGCACTCACCGCCTCCCGAGTTCATTGGTCCCATTGGACGTCCAACAGTTAAGGACTTTTTCCTGAAAAAATCAGTTTAGGTAAAAGCTGGCATTGGCTTCACATTTGAGGGCAAAAATTCCTCCGGGAATGAAAACGGAAAATCAGTGCCCAGAAGACATGAAAAGCAAGGTCAAAGGCCTTCGTGCTGCTCATTTTGGGACCACCAGAGTGTCTCTTGGAGGGGTACCATCACAGCAGGTGAAGCAGGAGCCCGACGAGGGCCTGGGCCGATCCTGGGAGATCCAGTTGGAAGACTTTCCCAAAGTAGGTCAGTCCCCACAGTCTGGACGGGGAACCCTTCAACTGCTAGATCCACCCCCCTGGGATGGCACCAAGGCATTTCTTCCGTCTTTCAAGGTAGCTGCAGAAACTAGCCAGGGATCTCAAGAAAGAAAGGCCCTTGAACTTGCTTCGGGGCTCCAAAAGGGTGTCTTGAGAGCAGCCAAGGACGAAGTCTCAGGGGACGACGGCCCGAGCAGAGACGCTCTCCGACGGCTCTTCCGGGAGTTCCGATACCAGGAGGCGGAGGGACCCCGTGAGGCCTGCGGGCGCCTCTGGTACCTCGGCCATCGGTGGCTGAAGCCGGAGAGATTCTCCAAAGAGCAGATCTTGGAACAGGTGATCCTGGAGCAATTCCTGACCATCTTGCCGTCCGAGGTCCAAAGCTGGACGAGGCGAAGTAATCCGGAAACCTGCTCTGAAGCTGTTGGCCTAGCGGAGGACTTCCTGCAGATGAAACAAGAGATGGAGGCTGAGGAACAAAAGGTAAGGAACCGACAGTAATTGTGACTCCCCCATGTCCATCCGGTGAGCAATGGGTCAACACTGTGTGACCTTACACCAAATCAGATGTTTTTTTCTCTCTCTCTATCTTTAGGCAATGAAATCAAGTATCTCTAGGGCATAAATGACAGCGGCAAATTGCAAAACAAAAGAAAAGTTAAAACAAGACAAAAATGTTCTGGCACGTTACAGACCGACTGCTCTATTTCAGCGGGATTTTTTGTGGACGAGTCCACTTCTTCCATTTTTTTTGTCTTCTTTATTGCTCATTTTGTTTTTGCCATAGGTAAGGATGCTACGCAACAACATGGCATTGGAGATTTTTTTGGAATTCAGCCCCTAGATATCTGCTGCAATTCCTTTAGCCAGATTTCTCAGGACTTTAGGCGAAACAAACAAAAAATAATATGTTCAGGTGTCTGCAATCAGTTTCAGTGGTGAAGTAGTGGTTTCTCTCAGATCGGGCAAAGATGAAAGAAGTGGCTGAGTGGGGCTAAGTTCTAAGTTTCTATTTTTATTTTTATTTTTTTTTTAAATTGCTAACCCCCCTGGAAATCTGACTGGGGAATTCCTACAAACATTATGGGGCTGTAGTCCATGAATTCTGAAAATCTCATGCCTGGATATCAGCTAGGTGGATACATGTCTAGAGAAAAGCAACCCATGATCTGAAAGCCAATTTTGTAAGGACTCTTGAAGGAGTTGAATATCGTTAGCCTGAAAAAGAGAAGAAAACTGTACAACTCTATTCTTTTGAATAAAGTAGGATCTCCATATCTACGGGAGGGTTGGTTCCAACCCACCCCCTGCACAGATACTGAAAAAGGCAGATTATAGTGAAGGCTATACATAGCATGCCAACCTAGCAGTTCGAAAGCATGTAAATGCAAGTACATAAAATAGGTGCCACCATGGTGAGAAGGTCATGGCATTCCGTGTCTAGTCACACTGGCCACGTGACCACGGAAACGGTCTACGGACAAACATTGGCTCTACGGCAGGGGTGAGCAAAATGCAGCCCTCCAGATGTTGCTGAACTGCAACTCCCATAATTCCTAGCCCACACAGCCAAAAGTGAGGAGAGTTGGGCCTAGCCCACACAGTGAGGAATGTTGAGATTTGCAGTTCAGGAACATCTGGAGGGGCGCACTTTGCCCAGGTCTGCTCTACGCTTTGGAAACGGGGATGAGCACTGCCCCCTATAGTCGGACTCAACTGGACTAAATGTCAAGGGGAACCTTTACCTTTACCTAGGTCCTATACAGTCGTGCCCTGCTTAACGATTACCCCGCATTACAATGAATCCGCTTCACAACGATGTTTTTTGCGATTGCAAATGGTTTTTTTTTCGCTTTGCGAAGATCGGTTCCCTGCTTCGGGAACCGATTCTTCGCATTACGACAATCAAAACAGCTGATCGTCGGGTTCTCAAAATGGCCATCCGGTGCTCAAAATGGCTCCCCGCTGTGCTTAGGGACGGATTCCTTGCTATACAGGCATCGAAAATGGCCGCCGTATGGAGGATCTTTGCTGGACAGTGAGTTTTTAGCCCATTGGAACGCATTAACCAGGTTTTAATGTGTTTCAATTGTTTTTTTATTTTCGCTTTACGACGTTTTCGCTTTACAGCTGGAACGAATTAACGTCATTAAGCGAGGCACCACTGTACATAGCATGGTCTCTCGCTCCCTCTAGTGGATAGTTCTGTTATTGACATTGTGGAAATAGATTTCTTTATTGAATGCTATACATGGCATGGACTCTGGCTCTATTGGCCAGTTCTAGTAACTCCAACTTTAGAAATATACAGGCGCTCCTCACTTAATGACTAAGTTCTATTCTTATGACTTGGCCATTAAGCAAATTGGTCCTTAAGTGAGGAGCAAGAAGGCAGAAGCAAGAAAGAGCTGGATCTGGAACTAGCTGGAGGAGCAGTACCGGGGTTGCCACTGGCTTGGTGAATAAAAACAAATAAAAGCTTCTCCATTGCTCCTGGTTGCATTGAGTTTGGTCATTGGTCCTGGCTAGTTTGGTGGTGGAAGGAAACAAAGACTGAGAAAGGGGATGACCTTCGCTAGAGAACTGGTTGTTAAGTCGGAGTGGTTGTAAAACAGGTAAGTCATTAAGTGAGGAGTGCCTGTATTTCTAGGCTATTGCTTTTAATTTTTTCAGACTGTGGATAAGTGAATCAGCAGATACTGATCCCGTGGATAAGAGGTTTCTACTGTACTTCTTTTCTTAACAGTCTGGCTCATAAGGTCTTTCTTTGGCTTATTTCTTTCAGCAAATGGATGTAGAAGCTGAGGCCGAGACCTCTTGCTTAGCTGCTACAGAGTTCTTCTCTTTGTCCGACTCTCTCCCGAGCCCTACGGATGTTGACCTTCCCTCTCCAGAGCCCCGGCGGAGGAGGGACGCCTGGTCACGCAAGGAGACCATTGCTTTCATTGACATCTGGAGAGCGGAGGACATCCAGATGGCCTTGGGCCAACAATACCGAAATATGAAGCTCTTTGCGTGGATTGCAAACCGTCTGCGTGAGCGGGGCTTCGAGCGAGACGCGGAGCAGTGCCGGAGCCGGGCGAAGGACCTCAAGCGGGGATACAAAGAAATTAAGTGTGGCAACCTCCATTCGGGACGGGCCCCCAAAACAGCCCCGTATTTTAAGCTTTTGGAGCAGTTCCTGTGCCTCCGGAAGGGCATCGTCTGTGGGAAAGTCTGTGGGTCCGGCGTGGTGGAACGCCTGGATAAGCGGCGCAAAAGGCTTCCCCTCAATCCCATGGCGGCCACCCAGATCGCCCGCGAAGCCCTCTCGGCCACCCCAGACGCCACCGAGAAGGGAGGGTTCAAGCGGCGGCTTGTCGCGCCATCGCTCCGGGTGGGTTTGCCCAAAGAAATTCAGAAAAGTCCTGGCAAAGAGATTCGAGAAATCCCCACTGACCAAAGGCAGATGGCTGAGAGCACCCCAAAAGACGAGGGCGCACAGATTGTGGAGAAAGAGGACTCAACCCGGGGGGCTCGTGTTTCATTGCCCTCCAAGGAGATTCCGATTGAACCTCAAGTGGCAGGTGAGGGCCCCAAGCTACTCTTTAATTATGAATTTGTATTATTAACCATGTAAGGGCAACTTTTATACATGGGGGGAGGAGGTCACCCAACCACCCCTGCCAAACATGGAGGCTCTCCATCGCCCCAGCGCATTTTTAAAAGCCAAACAAGACCCATAATGCTTTGTAGGATGTACAATAGGACCCCCCGTATCTGCAGGGGACCAGTTTCCAAGCCCCACCCCTGTGGTTGCTGAAACATGCCTATCATAGAGAAGGTTATTCGTAGCATGGTCTCTGACTCCCTCTAGTGGCCAGTTGTAGTAACAACATTGTTAAAAATATATATTTCCATGAAATTTTCTTTGGATGTTTTTAGTATTTTCAAACCATGGATAAGGGAATCAAAAGATACTGATGCCATGGATTCAGGGGTCGTACTGTATTTGTTGTTGTTTTTACATGCCACCAAGTTGCCTCCGACTTACGGTGACCTTCTAAACGAGTGATCTCCAAAATGTTGTGTTCTCAACAGACCTGCTCAGCTCTGCAAACTCAAGCTTCTGTTATTTAGTCTTTAAGGAGTCTGTCCATCTCGTATTTGGCCTTCCTCTTTTCCTGCTGCCTTCAGCCTTTCCCAGCATTATGATCTTTTCCAGAGAATCCTGCCTTCTCAGGATGGGCCTCAAGTAGGACAACCCCAGGATGTACAGTATAGGGTGATTTGGGGTCCCACTGATCCTGTTTTTTAAACCTATGGCTGGCTTCCTAATAAGAGGACGTTGTGTCCATTTTTTAAAAAAATTGTCTTCACGCGGCTCCCAGAGCTATGGGGAGAATAGGACAAAACTGACACTTGTCCACCCAAAAGGGTACGAGGGGTAATTTTTGTGATCACAAAACTTCATCGTCAAGCAGTTTCATCGTTTAATGAGGTAATCGTTAAGCAAGGCACCACTGTACCACACTAAAACATGGTAAACAAAAACAGCATCAAAAAAACACAATGCAATAAGGCACAACCATCCATTTAAAAATCTTACTCGGGCAGCTAGTCAGTCAGGGAAAGCGTGCCTGAAGAGAAAGGTCTTTGCCTGCTTGTGGAGGGTTTCCTGTCTCTGAATGGAGCCGGAGGAACCTGTCCAGACACGTTCCAAAGCCGTGTCTATGAGACAGAATCAGCTTGGGCTCCATCCATGTGGTTGTCCATTTGCTTGACAATATGCAACCATGTCAATTGAGCATGGCCTTTTGGGAACTGTAACAAGATGTTGCAGCATGTCCTGCTGCTGCTTGGGGTTCCAGCCACTCCATCCAATCCCAGCCTCCCTCTTCCTTCTTTTCCATTCATGAGCCCACCACCGTTAAACCGATCTCTCTGTGTCCACCAAGATACTCAGTCTTCTCTGAGTTGCATTTGTGTTCAGTTTTCGTCCCACCCCAAGATGTTTTGGTAATGTTGTAAAACACTGAGGTTCTCCTAAACTTGTTAATACCGTCCTTGTCTTGTAAAAAAGATGCACACATCCAAAGTGGGGCAGTATCCTTACCCGATTATCTGCAGTTTTGCTTTATGTTTCTAGGATTATGAGTTATCCTGCCATGGAATGTTCTTCCTTCCTTCCTTCCTTCCTTCCTTCCTTCCTTCCTTCCTTCCTTCCTTCCTTCCTTCCTTCCTTCCTTCCTATCCAAGAATTTTACAATTTAAAATTACAAAATAGAAGTAATTTGTAAAAATAAAATTAAAATGTTAAGAGAATTAGACTTTTTTTTGCCCAGAAGAGGACAACTTTGATAGTATCACCCCAGCCGTTGGCTAGACCTTCTTTTCTATCCGGCTTGCCGTCTCTTGACTTTACTTAAGTAAATAATGAAGAATTAATTTCCAGCTTTGCTAATATTTTTAAGATGCCCTGTTCCTTCTTGCTTTCTTCCTGTCAAAATCCTGGGCCCCTTTGCTCACGACGTGAAATGGATCAGATCTAGGCACCGCTCCAGAGAACCAGGGTGGATAAAAATCAGTGATTTTTAAACCACAATTTAGTTTAAAAGATGTATTTTTTAAAAATGTAAATAATCTAAAACACTATTTTAAAAAATAATGAATCATGATTTAAATCAGTTTGATTTAAATCAAATCCACCCTTCAGGCAACTAACATCCATCACCATTTACAAAGGGGAGAAATCATTGTTGTTTCAGTAGACCAAATGGATCACGTTATTTGGGGGTACATCAATAAACTCTCCGTGTCCCGGGGCCATTTTTCCAGCCTCAGGATGTTTCGACACCAGCCTCTCAAGGTGGTGCCTTGTGTTGAAGGGGGGGAAAAACCCTTCCAAATTTTTTTTTTTGGGGGGGGAAGAAATCCTGGGAGGGAGGGGGCTGGTAAACTAAAATATTTATAGGAGGCTCCATGCCTTACATTACAGGAGAAATGTGCCACTGGCGGTGCAGTTCTCTGGCTTTGGGGTGTGTGTGTGTGACTATTTAAACAATGTGGTGTTGTGGATAAAGCGATGGACTATGGCTCGGGAGACCAGGGTTTGATTCCCTGCTTGGCCATGAAAACTCACTTAGGGGAATGGAAGTGGTAAAAATATCTCACTTACCTTGAAAGCCCTGTTTGAGTCGATATAAGTTGATCCAGACTCAATGGCACTTGGCACACAGACATTAAAACAGGGTATGCTGGGGTGTAGGGACCTAGTGTGGTGTACAGTGGTGCCTGGCTTAACAATGTTAATTAGTTCCAGCAAAATCGCTGTAGAGCAAAAACGTCGTAAAGTGAAAATAAAAAACCAATTGAAACACATTAAAACCCAGTTAATGCGTTCCAATGGGCGAAAAACTCCCTGTCCAGCGAAGATCCTCCATACGGCGGCCATTTTCGGTGCCTGTATAGCGAGGAATCTGTCCCTAAGCACAGTGGGGAGCCATTTTGAGCACCCGGCAGCCATTTTGAAAATCCAATGATCAGCTGTTTTGATCGTTGTAATGCGAAGAATCAGTTCCCGAAGCAGGGAACCGATCTTCACAAAGCGAAAAGACCTCATTTAAAACATTATTTTGCGATCACAAAAACATCGTCATGAAGCGGATTCATCATAATGCGGGGGTATCGTTAGGCAGGGCAGGACTGTACTGGATAGAGTGATGGACTAGGACTCCGGAGACCAGGGTTTGAATCCCCCTCAGCCATGGGAACCGACTGAGGAAAGTGGAACTGGTAAAACCGCTCTTTAAATTCCTCACTTACCTTGAAAGCCCGACCCTCCTCTTAAGGTCAGTAGAAATCACTTCCGACTTGACAGCTTGGAACGGCAACAACATGCTGGGTTATATGGCTTAGGAGCCAGAAAAGCTCCCTTAGGGACCGCATCCATTCCTGGCCATAGGTTCCACAAAAGAAAATAAAAAGTATGACTGATGATCTCTCCCGCTTGGTTTCCCCCCAGAGGTTGTGGAAGAGCCCAGGAGAGGGCTTGTTGGCGGCACGGAGCGTGTGTGCTACAGGCGGGAGCGGAACTGGAGGCAGCGCGTGGAGTCCACCAGGCGCTTGACGGAGTCCTCCTCCACCTCCTCCTCGTCTTCTCCCAAAGGGAATCCTGACCTCATGGAGGCCCTCCGCCAGCTGCACCAGCAGGACCTGCGGGCCTTCGAGACCACGAGGCGGGAGGAGCGGGCGGAGGACAAGCGGGAGCGTCAGCTGGAGAAGCGGGAGCGCGAGCAGGACCGGGCCACGACCCACCGCATGATCGCCGCCATCGAGCGCTCGCACCAGACCCTGGCCGACCTCATGGGGAGGCAGACCTCTGCCATGGAGGCTATCGCCACGGCCTTTTCCAGCCAGAGGCATCCTTCCCTCGGCAACTTCCCGGCCTACAATACGTGTCTTGGATTCGTCCCGGTTGGGTCTTCTCAGAAATCGGCCCCGAATTCTGGCGAGAGGTCAGTCGAGACATCCGGAAGCAACACGCCACCGCTACATTTGCGAGCCCTGGGGGAGGAGCCTGGGGCAGACATTCCCGCAGTGGCGCAAAATGATCCTGCAGAGCCCGACCCAGCCCAGCCCTTCCTCAGCCCTTCTGCTGGTGTCCCCACAGGCCCTGATCCTCCATTGATCCCGAGTTCGAAAGGCATCTCGGGGGGTCCGCCCACCCCCCCTCACCCCATCAGTGCCAGTCCAAAGCGGGTCGCCAAGAGGAAGAATTCTGACTGAGATAAATATTGGGTCTGTGCACTTTTAAATCTGACTACCACCACCCCTCCTCTCAGTCTCTTCCAAATGATCTTCCTCCATTTTGAATTAAAAAGATGGATTCTGTTGATGTCGTTTCAAATTCATGTCCCATTCTCAGGTATTTCCTTTGCAAAAGGACTTTTGGGCCTCGGCTGGGGAACCTCTGGCCTTCCAGAGGTCTTTTTAGCTCCAATCACTACTTTTGGCCATGCTGATGGGGATGATGGGGAGCTGTAGAGCAATAGACCCTGCATGCCAAAGGTTTCCCCTCTGAAATATCCACTTTGACTTTGTTCTGTGTGACTAGCCTTAATGCACAGGGGTCGGCAACTAAGAAACTGCAGGGCCCAGCCCTGCCTCCTTCCTCCTCTATGGCATTTTTTTTTAATTGTTGTTTCTTTTTCCCAGAAATTTTCTCAACACCACCTAAGGACAAAAAGGAGTGTCAGTAGAATCGGAGCATTTCAGGTTTTATGTTTATTTATTTAAAACATGTTTCTAGTTCCCATAGAAGTCTATACGAGCTGGCCCCATGAAATCTGGATAGATCAGAGGCGTTATTCAATAATTCTTGCCATGGTCAGAAAGTGAGAGCAGCAGAGAAGCTAGAGGGAAAGAAGAATGTGATTGTCTGCAGAGTTCAGGATTCATATTTTTCTCCTTCCTTTTTCTCATATTCTTCCCCGCAAAAGTGAGTTAGCGTTCTACGACCATAGAACACATTCATTCTGTTCCTCCTTCTACTTAGATCTCTCTCTCCCTCATTTTCCATTTCTGCAAATTTCAGCATTTTGCCAAGTTTGTTGATGTAAAAGGCTCAGAAATACGTACAGAAATACCAGGCTATACAAGCAGTTTTCATGCCACTCTCTGAGATGATTTGGGATCGGTGGGTTGTCTCTGTCCTTACTTGGTGGTTCGGAGAATGCACTCTGTAGCTGCTTTGGAGTCGTTCCCTCTCGTCTTGCGTTCAGCCATCTGGGGTCAATCCTGCCTCGAAAGGCAAATATTGGAATTGAACACCCACGACCCCCTGCTGTAAATGTTCTTCTCCTGATTTCAGGAAGAACCTGAGGTAAGTTAGTGGAATAATAATATCCGTTGTGGAGAAAATGGGGAAAGAGTTTGTTTCCCCCTCTCTGCCCTGGAATAAGGGGGCGTCCGTTGTGGAGAAAATGGGGAAAGAGTTTATTTCCCCCCCCCCTGCCCTGGAATAAGGGGACGTGGTGGTGCTGCAGGCTAAACTGCAGAAGCCTTTGTGAGCTGCAGGATCAGAAGACCTGCAGTCGTAAGATCGAATCCAAATGACGGAGTGAGCTCCCATCGCTTTGTCCCAGCTCCTCACCAACCTAGCAGTTCGAAAGCATGCAAATGCAAGTAGATAAATAGGTACCACCTCAGTGGGAAGGTAAAATGGCGTTCCCTAGTCACGCTGGCCACGTGGCAATGGAAACTGTCTTCGGACAAGTGCTGGCTCTACGGCTTGAAAATGGGATGAGCACCACCCCCTAGAGTCGGACATAACTGGACTAAAAATGTCAAGGGGAACCTTTACCTTTACCTTTTTTGCCCTGGAATAATAGAACCCCTTTGGGCCACCCAAGGTGGACAGTTTAAGGCAGAGAAAAGTGGGAATGGACTCACTGTCAAATTGGACTTGAGTCTCACCAGTGGCTTGACTCAGGCTTTGTTTTTTTTCAGTGACTCAGACTCTACTTAGAACCCACCTGCTCTCTCTCCCCCTTTTTTTTCTGGGGGGAAAACATGTTTTTAATAAGGACTCAGAGCTGGGACTTGGTGCCAAAGGCTCAGACCCAAAGACTTGACAACATTCCTGGAAAAAAGTAAGGGTTTCTCTTGTACAGGAGAGAGTTAAACTGTGGAATTCACTGCCACATGATTTAGTGGCAGCTGCCCGTTTAGATGCTTTAAAAAGCATTTGGGTCAGTTTGTGTTAGCAAGGGCCATTAATCATCGTCTTAGGACTGCAGAGCTGGAAGGGACCCTATGGATCATCAAGTCCAGCCCCTGTCAAGGAGGCCCAGTGGGGGAAATCGAATTCCCACTTCTAGTTCCACAGCCAGGTGCCTAAACGACTGAGCTATCCATTAATGTCTACCAGCAGAGAGATCATTAGTAATCTTGACACCAAGGGCAGGTGACCCTGTCTCCTCTCTGCTCTTCCGTGAGGCGTGGATGCACCTCCTCCAAGAAAAAGAGGGGTAAATAGAGTATTCCCTCCCAAAGCAAGAGGAAGCCTATGCATTTGGAAAAAGAGAAGTGAATAGGGCCAGGAGGTGTGTCACTATTTTATTTTCGCCAATATTTATTTATTTACTTACTTACTTACTTACTTA